TCAAGTCGACCTAATTTAAGTTCACAGCATCATCACTTTTTTTTTTACCAGTAGGTCGTAAAATTCTGTTCAGTCATTTCTATGCAGCTCAGTCCAAAGAATATCTCTGCCAAGTTTTGGAAGAATTAGACAAAATTTGAAGAAGTAGCGAAAAAACAAATCACTGTACTTTTCAAAATGGCCACTACTGTAATGGGTACACGCTTAATATAAGATATTCAATGTCATCAGCATGAGGAGAGTAATCAGATGTACTAAGTTTAATTTTTCTTTAACTAAGGGTTCAAGAGTTATTTCCATTTCAATGTTGAATTTTTGAACTGGTGGTCCTTATGGTCCCTTGAAAAAGGGGGGAGGTACATATTAAAGAGCTGTAATTCCTTAACCTTTCCTCCAATTTTGATGTGAATACTCTCAAATTAAAGATCAGAGTGTGCACTTTAATCCCGTATACATTATATAACTGCAACTATATTATTATGTTTGGTGAGCAACTAAAATAATACAAATTGTGCCTGTGCCCAAATTTATATGGACCTAACTGTATGTAATAATAATAATAATTATTATTATTATAAAATGATGATACTGTACCTTTGATAAAGTGGCAGTGTGTTCCCCTCCACACGAGATGGACACAGTTTTCTTCAATTGAAGGCTATTTATAATTGTTGGGATGTGTCTGTCTTTGGTGACAAGAATTGTGAATTGAATTCATCACTTCCAAATGCATCATTTTCATGCTTTGATATAGATTTGACACAGTATTGCGCAATTTAGTACCTTTACATGTAATTTCATACTGTTATTGATTTCGCTTTTACATGAAGAAACAAGAAGACCTGTAGTGTCTCCGAGGCCCAGCTGTCCAGCAGAGTTCTTTCCCCATCCAAACACGACTCCAGAGAGAGACAACACAAAGCTGTGGTCTCCTCCAGCGCTGATCTGAGCCAGCGGGATCCCACTCAGACTCTGAACATGTTGAGCAGACGGAGAGCCGGGATGATCTTTCCTCAAACCCAGCTGACCATGAGAGTTCTCACCCCATACCAACACCTGACCATCTGAAAGAGCAACAGCTCTGAACATCTACACTCAAATCTCAATCGATTCATCTCAATCATAAGATATCTAAAGATGAAATCAAAATGGCAGATTGAACACTTGTTAATACCCTTGGTTAGTGCCATTGAATGATGGTCTCCACATGCGATCTGAATCACCTGCCTGTTATCCAGACCTTTGAGAGGCCTGCAGAGACAAGACAATCTGTCAGATAGATACTTGTTATTATCATTTATGGTCATTTATACTGTCATGTCTCCATAAACATACCTGCACACAGTAAGTTTGTCCATGATGAGAACTTTTCCTGAATCAGAAAGAAGCACCGCACCATCTCCTCCACAGACGATCAGTCTGATTCTGTCATTCTTTAGCTGTAGTTGCTCTGGAGTAAATCAAATACTTTCATCAGTTCAACTTCTGTTCAGACTGTAAAATTAAACAAACTACTTTCATTATGATGATGTTATTAATAATACGCTTACAGTAGGCTATATTTCAGTAAATCATATACTTTCACATACAAACTTGGCATCTTTCTTAGATTTTTAACTTTTTAAACGATGCCATAAAGTGACATTTAGAGCATCATACTTAGTTTCCCATCAGTACGGTCTTCACTGAGCAATCTCAGGACCGAGACCTTCCCATCCCGAATAAATCCAGCAAAACTCCTTCCAGCTGACATGTCCTGAACTGCTGTTTCTGGACACACAGATCGTATTCCACATTTGCCATGTTTGACTTGGTCAGGCTTCACCAGCCCCAAACCCTCTCTGACCTGCGCTCCCCAAAAACACAACATGACCACAGCTGATGCTCGAGAAGATCAGACTCCAGAAGAGTCTCTCTGCTCTCTTTCTTCCTGAACTGATGAACACATTCATGTTAAACTGAAAGCAAACACGAAAGTTAAAAAGGAAAGGCTGATTTCAGGCTAAACGAAACTTTTTCGATTGCCCACAAAATGAAAGCGTTTGGAAACTGTATCTACCATGTTTGTAGTTTTTTTAAATAGAGCGTGATAAGCTAACCTATGGGAGCCCTTATTTCAGCGCCACTGAATAAAAATAAAAAGTCGCAATTACCTTTTTTATTTTTTATTCAGTGGCGGACACTGGCTTCCAAACAAAACCATGATGACAAATTAAAATACGGATGAGGGATTACGATTTATTTGGAAAACGAAACCAAAACTTAAGGAGATAGCCTAGTTCATCTAAAAATGCAGATAATTGATATTAATTCTTTACTCCCGTCTTGTTCGAAAGTGTGACTTAATATTGCTTATAGCGCCACCTTCTGGCCGTTTTCACAGTTCGGCACGGCACACACATTTCTTTGCATGTTGTACTGATATATACTACATATGGGCTTTTATCTATTTTTTTTAGTTTGAATACTCTATTTATTAAGGTATTGACAATGATTACAATCAATTCACAATAATAGTACAAAAACTATAAAAAAAATGTGACACTCTCAACAACCTGTCCCCATTCCTACCCATATACAGGTGCATCTCAATAAATTAGAATGTCGTGGAAAAGTTCATTTATTTCAGTAAGTCAACTCAAATTGTGAAACTCGTGTATTAAATAAATTCAATGCACACAGACTGAAGTAGTTTAAGTCTTTGGTTCTTTTAATTGTGATGATTTTGGCTCACATTTAACAAAAACCCACCAATTCACTATCTCAACAAATTAGAATACTTCACAAGAAACATTTTTAGTGAATTGTTGGCCTTCTGGAAAGTATGTTCATTTACTGTACATGTACTCAATACTTGATAGGGGCTCCTTTTGCTTTAATTACTGCCTCAATTCAGCGTGGCATGGAGGTGATCAGTTTGTGGCACTGCTGAGGTGGTATGGAAGCCCAGGTTTCTTTGACAGTGGCCTTCAGCTCATCTGCATTATTTGGTCTCTGGTTTCTCATTTTCGTCTTGACAATACCCCATAGATTCTCTATAGGGTTCAGGTCTGGTGAGTTTGCTGGCCAGTCAAGCACACCAACAAATCCTGCTGGAAAATGAAATCAGCATCTTCAAAAAGCTGGTTAGCAGAAGGAAGCATGAAGTGCTCCATGAAGGGTTTTTGGTTTTCAAAAAACACAATGGACCAACACCAGCAGATGACATTGCACCCCAAATCATCACAGACTGTGGAAACTTAACACTGGACTTCAAGCAACTTGGGCTATGAGCTTCTCCACCCTTCCTCCAGACTCTAGGCCCTTGGTTTCCAAATGAAATACAAAACTTGCTCTCATCTGAACAGAGGACTTTGGACCACTGGGCAACAGTCCAGTTCTTTTTCTCCTTAGCCCAGGTAAGACGCCTCTGATGTTGTCTGTGGTTCAGGAGTGGCTTAACAAGAGGAATATGACAACTGTAGCCAAATTCCTTGACACGTTTGTGTGTGGTGGCTCTTGATGCCTTGACCCCAGCCTCAGTCCATTCCTTGTGAAGTTCACTCAAATTCTTGAATCGATTTTGCTTGACAATCCTCATAAGGCTGCGGTTCTCTCGGTTGGTTGTGCATCTTTTTCTTCCACACTTTTTCCTTCCACTCAACTTTCTGTTAACATGCTTGGATACAGCACTCTGTGAACAGCCAGCTTCTTTGGCAATGAATGTTTGTGGCTTACCCTCCTTGTGAAGGGGTCAATGATTGTCTTCTGGACAACTGTCAGATCAGCAGTCTTCCCCATGATTGTGTAGCCTAGTGAACCAAACTGAGAGGCCATTTTGAAGGCTCAGGAAACCTTTGCAGGTGTTTTGAGTTGATTAGCTGATTGGCATGTCACCATATTCTAATTTGTTGAGATAGTGAATTGGTGGGCTTTTGTTAAATGTGAGCCAAAATCCTCACAATTAAAAGAACCAAAGACTTAAACTACTTCAGTCTGTGTGTATTGAATTTATTTAATACACGAGTTTCACAATTTGAGTTGAATTACTGAAATAAATTAACTTTTCCACGACATTCTAATTTATTGAGATGCACCTGTACACAAACACGCTCCACTATAAACCAACTGTAACTGGGTTGATTGTGAGGGAACTGCCATTTTCGATGCCTATTTGTTGTAGCTACACAAAGTAAAGTGGGTTTTCACTTCTGTTTTGGCAAATACTTTAAAATTCAGTTTCTCATAGGCTTATTTATTTATTTTTAATTCTAAGGTTTCATCGCTCTTATCAGGTTTTATTCATAACCAAGACAGTAGGTGGAACCGTGTACAGGGGCCTACAAACTCATGCAGGGCTCTTAATCATGGCAATGGATGGTATATTGTTATTTATTAGTTTTTTTCTCCGTTTATGACACAAATGCATAGTTTGAGTGACTTTTTAATAAAATTATAAGCTTCACATTTCTGTTTAAGTTCCCCAAGATTGGCATAGAACTTCCTTGTTGCGTTGTTTGTTTGAGGGACTGGGCCAATGTATGGCTTGTGATAATCTGCATTGTGCCCCAAATTCTGTTGATTGAGATTAACTTGTACTGAACTGATGTAATATTACTTTCTAAATGTAAACTGATTTGTAGTTTATGGCTTCAGCATCTTGGAACTTGCTTGTTGATGGCCAGAGTTTTATCCTTGGCAAACCAATATGCTTTGAAGCCAAATGCCCCGGCAGTGAGGCAGGCAAATTCAGGCTGTACCTGACAAAAAACTCAGGCTGTACCTGAACAGTTGTTTTGTCACTTCCTCTCCCAACCCTCAGTCAATGGAGACGTATTCTGTGGTTGAGAATTATGGGTAAATATGGTCTTTTCATACTGAATTATGAAGTCAACTTGTGTTGCTGTTTCCACACATTTTTTGTGTCATTGTTTATGGTCAAATGTAAGTTTGACCATAGTTTGGATTTACTTGGGTCATTGTATTAAAGTCCACATTAAATCAAAACGGATTTTCTTTCAGTGTTTAATAAGTGATCCATTCACTGGATTACAAAAGTTAATTTGCCACTTGTAGTCTTTAATTTAAAAAACAGCACAAAAAACAACCCCCCCCCCCCCCCCCCGCCCCACACACCCCCACACAACACACGCCAAAACAAATCAAAAGACGAAACTCCTTCTCATTATACAATAAGCGGTTTCAATTGACTGTCACAATGGTGAAAAATTACCACAGTTTCCATTTCATTCCAACTTTAATAACATATGTGTGTAGATGCCTGGTGGACAGTAAGAACAGCATTCTGATGAAGTTCCACACCAGTGTCAACAAGATGACTTTGTGTTGCAGCTTTTCTGTTTAGAAACATGGTTTCTTTGCCACAGCCCAAAAAGGTAAAACATGACACATATTTATAAGACATTTGAATGAATTACTGGTTTGTTTGACCTCTTTAAAAACTCCTCTCTTCCCTTTGTAGACTGTTTATGCATTGTGAGTTGGACTTTGGACCACAGACTCGTAGACCAAGTGCCAAGTCATGCATGTATAACACAAAAACCAAAAAGTGAGTTTTCAAGCACACAAAGAGCACAAATGTACTCCCAAAATGTCTGCTCTAATGATTAGATTCCCCTTGCATACTCTATTAAACAGTTTGTAGTTTTCTTTTTAAAGTTTTAAATTCATCTACCCAAGTCTGAGAGTAGTAATTGTAGATTTGTGTGCTGTAGGTGGACTGAGCTATATGGTGATTCCACAGTCTGCAACTGTTGTGCATCTACATGTCTTGCTCCTCCAGTTGCATTTGGTTTGTACAAATGGATTAACTTCCTAAATGAAATTAAGTTTGACTTGGGCCTACCCAGATTCTTTTCCTTGCTGACCAAGTTTTTCAGTTTTCATCAGGTAAGACAATGATCACCAGTGAGTCTTGGTATTTGAAGATGGGCCCAGAAACCTCATCACCTCTTTCACCAGAAGAGTCCATGCCTGAATTTTCTTTAGCTGGCCATGATGACTGAGTTGTTCTGGGAATCAGATGATGATTACTAGGAGGATGTCTTTTACTGATGACGGTTGTCTTAAGGACTAAAAGTGCCAACTATGTAGTTATACCTTGTGAAGTTAATATGATAAACTGAATTCACAAATTCTTTCGTCTCTTTACATTTGTCACCAAAAGAGTAGATGCATTATGAAATAATGAACACCTGAGCAAAAGTACATTTAAGCATTTCCGGCACAGTATCTCAAACATTTTTTTATTATTTTTTTCTTATAAAATGTTTCTCATTGATCCATATTCATATATCAGCACTGGCATGTTTCTAATCATCTCCAGTAAGTGTCTATTTGTTTTTAAGTACATCTCTTCATTTGACAAGGGCAGAAACAAGTTAACAGGTTTTCCCACTCTGAACTCTTCTGGTAATCCAATCTCACTAGGAATTAGAGGATTCCCAACCAGAGCATGGTTTAGTGATTTAGCTTTGAGTTTCTGCTGTAAAAAAGTCAGCAGGTCATTATGTCTGCAAGCCATCTGCTCAGGGTCCCAAGATAAGGTTTTGTTGACCAGAAGATGTAACACTGCGTTCTTCAAGTGGTAGTTTGTTAGCCCACATGGTCCAGTCAGGCCAGTCTGGTATTTGTGTAGGAAGGAAAGGATCTGTAGGCATTGAATATGGCATGCATTGTATGGAAGCGTTTTGGTTATGTGTTGAAGAAGGGCGTTTTCGTAGCGTGTAAAACATACAGGCCAATGGGTGTCCGAGAATATGGCAGAGGAAGAATACGGGATCAGATGTACCTCAGAGTCTTTAAATCTGACCACAGGTGTGAGATTGAACAGAATGACCCGACCTGACCTGAAACGAACTTTGAGACTTCCAGGGTTTTCTCTATTCTGGAATAGTAGGTCAAATTCATACTTGTGGCTGATCTCATCCCATGCTTTCCTAACGGCTGTCTTAAACCACTTCACAACATGCGTTTTAGCAAGATATGAGCTATTTTCTTGGCATAGAAAGTCAT